CGGTCCGTCCCCCAGGATTCTGGGAAAGAACAAAAGGCCGCTGAACAGCAGGCTCTAAGGCTGAGCGCGGCGCCCGCATCTCCCCACCGCCTCGGGCGCCCTCTAGTGCTGCCGAGAGGACGTGCAGCCCCGGGAAGGACCCTCCGGCCCCACTCAGCCGCCGCGCCGAACCCGGGTCCGGACACGAGCCAAGGGCGACAGTGCTGCTGCCACCCCTCCCCCAGGATATTCCCACTGATTTTTTAGAGAGAACGGAAGGGCGGGGAGAGGCGGAGAGACAGCGATGGGAGAGACGCATGGGTGGGCCACCTCCCCGCCACGGCCCAGGCTGGGACTCAAACCTGCAACCGAGGCTAGCCTGCAACCAAGATACATGCCCTTGACTGGAATCGAACCCGGGACCCTCTGGTCCACAGGCAGACGCTCTATCCACCGAGCCACACCGGCCGTGGCGAGGACCCATTGTAAACAAACAGGGTGGCTCTTTAAAGCAGGGGAACCGGGAAGCCTTTGTTTTAGAATAAGCGGCTGAAGGCGTTTCTGTGGGGGTACCTTGGGCGAAAGGAGAGGCCTACCCCCCCTACTTCCCGGTCCCCAGTGTTTAGGGGGGACAGGGAGAGGGAGAGAGAAACATCTGTGATGGGGGAGAGTCATGACCGGCCGCCTCCTGCCCGGCCCACACTGGGGACCGAGCCCACAACCCGGGCCTGTGCCCTGACTGGGAACCCCGGGCGTGCTTCCCGGGGAGGCTCCCAGCCCCTCACTGTGCGGTGCAGGGCCCCGTGGTGGGGGCGGCCTACCTTGCTCCCTTTGCTGGTCCCGCTGCTCCATGGACACCAGGGCGGAGAAGTGCGCCTGGTCGTAGGCGAGGACCAGGGGGGAGCAGTGGCACCGGTTGGGAGGCACCTCCAGAGGCAGGTAGATCCCTCCGAACGGGATCGGGGCGAAGGCTGTGGACACAGACGAGGGGGGGCGTGGGGAGCCCGCAGGGACAACGTGGGCGGCTCCCTCACCCCAGGGGCGACCGGACCCCGGCTCCTCCAAGGCTCTCCCGGAGGGGCTTCAGTTTCCATACGTTTTTTAAAAAATTGACCTCAGAGAGAGCAAGGGAGAGGGCGAGGGTGAGAGAAACATAGTGATGAGAGAGAATCATGGATCGCCTGCCTCCTGCACGCCCCTACTGGGGATGGAGCCCTGACCAGCAACCGAACCATGACCTCCTGGCTCATAGGACGGCGCTCAACCCCTGAGCCACACCGGCCGGTGTGCAGGCTTCCAAGTTCTTCCAGTGAAACCCGCCTCCTCCAGGAGGTCCCCTTTGGTTTCTCTAGGTCACGGCCGCTCACCCACCCGCAGTCCTGCTCTGTGACGTGGGGACCCACCTTCCCCGCCCGAGTCCCTCAGCATGGTGTCGGCCACGACCACGATGGGCCTCCTTAGGATGTGGGCCAGGACGAACACGTGGAACTCCTCCAGGCTCTCGTACACGGGGTCCTCGGCATTGTCCACACTGCGGGCAGAGCAAGGCCCGCTGTCACCGCGCCGATGGGAGAGGGGGTGTTGGAGCCCGGACGCCTCCTGCCGATCGGACCTCCACGGACCCTGGCCAGCGCCACTGAGTCCATCTTCCTCCCACACTCCCAACTGATGACAGACGCACAAGTCCCGGCCCCCCACCCCTCCACGCCCGGAGGTCTTCCTAGTGGCAGAGGCAGCCACTCAGAGCTCGTGGGAACACAGGGGCGGCCCTCTGGGCGGTTCAGGGGACACAGCAGGGGCAGGAGGCAGGCTGGCTTCCTGGCCCCCTCTGCTTCTAGCTCTTGGGCTCAGTCCTCCCGCTCAGGGTGAGGCCCCCCCGGCGTGGCTGACCGGCCGCTGGGGCAGGGCTACCAGGTCTGAGGGGCTTTCTTTTCTTTTCTTT